GACTACTGGAAAAACCATAGCTTTGACTATTGGAATCTTTCTTGGCAAAGTAATGTCTCTGCTTTTTAATATGCTGTCTAGGTTTGTCATAGCTTTTCTTCCAAGGAGCAGTTCAGTTCAGTCGTTCAGTAGTGTCAGACTCTTTGCGACCCCATGGAGCTCTGAATGCCAGGCTTCCCTGTCCATCACCAACTTCCGAAGCTATCTTTTAACTTCATAGCTGCAGCCACCATCCTGGAGAAGGAAATGGCAACCCACTCCAGAATTATTGCCTGGAAAATTCCATGGACAGAAGAGCCTGACAGGCTACAATCCACGGGGTTGCAAAGAGTTGGACACAATTGTGCACACACACACAGTCACCATCTGCAGTGATTTTGGAGCCCAAGAAAATAAAGTCTGTCACTGTTTCCATTGTTTCTCCATCTATTTGCCATGAAGTGATGGGATCAGATGTCATGATCCTTGTTTTTTCAATGTTGAGTTTTAAGCCATCTTTTTCACTCTCCTCTTTCACCTTCATCAAGAGGTTCTTTAGTTCCTCTTTGCTTTCTACCATAAGAGTGGTGTCATCCAAATATCTGAGGTTATTGATATTTCTCACAGCAATCTCAATTCCAGTTTGTGCTTCATCCAGTCTGGTATTTCACATGATGCACTCTGCATATAAGTTAAATAAGCAGGGTGACAATATACAGCTTTGATGAACTCCTTGTGCCAAAATGAATGACTGAAATTTTGTCTAGCTATAATTGCAGTATCCATTGTTGATACTATCTAAAATGACCATATTAGTTTCCTGTGGCTGCTACAAACAAATTATTATAAGTCTAATGGTTTAAAACATCACCAAATTATTATTTTGTGGTTCTGGAAGTCAGAAGTCCTAAAATCAAGATGTCAGCAAAGGCTCTATTCCTTCTAGAGTCTCTATGGAAGAATTTATTTCCTTGCTTTTCCAACTACGGATTGCATGAATATATTGATGCATCATGGTCTCTTCTTCCATCTTCAAAACCACAGAATAATATTTTCAAATCCCAGTCTCTCTCTCTCCCTTCTTCCCCTTCTCCCTTTGTCCTTCCCTGCTAATTTTGACTTCTCACATGCATTATCTCCTCTGACTCTGACCGTCCTCCTTCTCTTTTAAGGATCTTTGTGATTACACTGGGCTCATACAGATAATTCGGGAAAACTTCCCCATCTCAAAATTCTTAACTTCACCACATCTTCAGCATGCAAGGTCCCATTTTCACAAATTCTGGAGATGACGACATGGACATCTTTGGGGGACCATTATTCAGTCTACCACAATGACATCAGAGAAAACTTTTTAAAAATAAATTTCATAAATAACTTATTTTATATATTCTAACAACACACCATAATACGGTAGAATAAAAACTTCTACTGCTTGGTCCTAAAAGCTGGGTTCATAGTTTATTAGAAGTTGTAACTTCTAGAGAACATGACATTTTTACAGACTAAAATGGGATTGTAGTTCTTGCTTCTTCTGTTTGCCCTCTAATGGATAAAAATAAGAGAGGCCTATGCAAGCTTCCAGATGGGAGGGACTGGCTGTGGGGATAACTGGGTCTTCCTCTGGTGGACAGGGTCATGCTCAGTAAATCTTTAATCCAATTTTCTGCTTATGGGTGAGGCCCCTTGGTTACTTGCCCTAAGGCAGCCCAGTCCTAGAGTCTGCAGTCTCTATGGAAGGGGTAATAGCAACCTCATCCAAGAGGATTTATGCCAACATCTACTTCTGCTTCACTGACTATGCTAAAGCTTTTTACTGTGTGGATCACAACAAACTGGAAAATTCTTAAAGACATGGGAATAAGAGACCACCCTACCTGCCTCCTGAGAAACCTGTATGCAGGTCAAGAAGCAATAGTTAGAAATGATGGGCTTCCCAGGTGGTGCTAGTGGTAAAGAACCCGCCAGCCAATGCAGGAGATGTAACAAATGTGGTTTCGATCCCTGGGTCGGGAAGATATCCTGGAGGAGGGCATGGCAACCCACTCCAGTATTCTTGCCTGGAGAATCCTGTNCCAGCTTAGCATGCATGGAACAACCAACTGGTTCACAGCTGGGAAAGGTGCGCATCAAGCCTGTATACTGCCACCCTGCTTATTTAACTTATATGTAGCCATCATAGAAATGCTGGGCTGGATGAATCATAAGCTGGAATCAAGATTTCCAGGAAAAAAATCAACAATCTTAGATATTCGGATGATACTACTTTAATGGAGGAAAGTGAGGGGGAACTAAAGAGCCTCTTGATGAAGGTGAAAGAGGAGTGTGAAAAAGCTTGCCTAAAACTCAACATTCAAAAAGTGAAGATCATGGCATCTCGTCCCATCACTTCATGGCAAATAGATGGGTAAACAGTGGGGAATTGGCAGATTTTATTTTCCTGGTCTCCAAAATCACTGCAGATGGTGATTGCAGTCATAAAATTAAAAGACATTTGCTCCTTGGAAGAAAAGCTATGACAAACCTAGACAGCATGCTCAAAAGCAGAGCTCTCACTTTGCTGACAAGGTCTGTTTAGTCAAAGCTCTGGTTTTTCCACTGGTCATGGATGGATGTGAGAGTTGAACCATATAGAAGGCTGAACACTGAAGACTTGATGCTTTTGAAATGCGGTATTGGAACAGACCCTTGAGAGTCCCTTGGAGATCAAACCAGTCCATCCTAAAGGAAATCAACCCTGAATATTCATTGGAAGGACCAATGCTGAAGCTGAAGCTCCAACACTTTGGTCACTTGATGTGAAGAACTCATACACTGGAAAAGACCCTGATGCTAGGCAATACTGAAGGCAGGAGAAGGGTACAACAGAGGATGAGATGGTTGGATGGCATCATCGACTCAATGCACATGAGTTTGAGTAAACTCCGGGAGATGGTGAAGGACAGGGACAGCGAAGCCTGGCGTGCTGAAGTCCATGGGGTCACAAAGAGTTGGACATGACTGAGAGGCTGAACAGCAACAAATTCTAGGCAAAAATGCGAGGGGCATTCTCATTATCTGTGCTAATTGAAGTGGGACAGAGACAGACCAGAGGCAGAAACCACTCTGAAAATGGGGCTCGTTGATCCAGTAAACAGCTACTTAGTGAAACAAAAGTGACTGCTGGGTTCTCCAGTGGGCTGGGTATAACTAACACCAGCAGCTATTTAAGTGTGCAAAGATCTAAACTACATAATGCTAATTTAATGTCTAAAATTACAATACTTGTAAACATGGGTAAGAGATGGCTTACCTGGTGAAATTAATGCTGGCTCTGTGGGAATCAGAGGTATGCCTGCAAAGAAACAAAGATACTCTTCTTTAGTCTGTTTTGCTCAAAGTGAAGCCCACACAGTTCATATAAGAATGGTCATATAAAGAAAATGTTTGGGAGAGAGGATGCAAGAGGAATGTTAGAAGAAAAATTTGCATGGTTTTAAAAGTAACTCAGAACAAAAAAAAAAATTTTTTTGAAAAAGACAATGAAGGAGTATCTTATGAAGGTTTATTGTTTGTCTAAAATGTCTGTTTTTATAGTTACTTGCCACCATATAAATACATTCAAGTATTTTACACTTCAGAATAAGTTAAGTAAGATTCATACTTACAGTCTTCTGGATAGACACATTTGAGAGTGACTTCATCAAGGATCATATGTTTAGGGCAGTAAGGCAAGCATCCTTCAATCCTTCACATGAAAAAAATTAAAGAAAAAATTTAATATAATATAAGACATCTAATATATGCATATGATATCTAATATATATATATATCTAATATAACCTATATGCAGGTCAGGAAGCAACAGTTAGAACTGGACATGGAACAATAGACTGGTTCCAAATAGGAAAAGGAGTATAGCAAGGCTGTATATTGTCACCCTGCTTATTTAACTTATATGCAGAGTACATCATGAGAAAC